TTTTTCTGAAATGTCGACATTTTCCTTTGAAAAATTCTTGCCAAATATTTTAAAAATTTCCTCTTCCTAATTCTTTTCAAAATTATTATTATTATTATTATTATTATTTTTTCCCATAATTTGAAAATATTTTCTTTCAAAATTTCACGTTTTCTTGTAAATAAATTTAAATCTAAATCAGAATTTATTTTTTCAAAATTAATTGTCTTTCTGTTCAGCGTTTATTTTATTTTATTTATTTATTTATTTATTTATTTTTATTTTTTTGGAAAAAAACTTGGCGATTATCTTTATTTTTGAATTTATTGATAAATAAATAAGGGATTCCCCCCCACCCTCCACATGCCACCACGCCGAACCAAGAACTCCCAACGTGCCGCCGCCGACACCGCCGCTGCTGCCGCCGCCACTGCTGCTGCGGCATCCTCCACACCCGCTCAGGCCACGTCCTCTACCCCCTCTTCCCCTGACATGGCCGCATCCTCCATCAACATATCTGACATGCGCACTGACTCAGTTGATAGCATCGCCCGCAACCTCGCAGGCGAACAACCACCAGCAAACACCGCCACCCTCGACCTCTCCGCCATCCTCTACACACTCAACACCATCCGAACCTCCGTCACCGCCTCTCTCGACGACATAAAGGCCAACATGTCGTCCATATGCGACCGCGTCACCACGCTCGAAGGGACCATCCTCTCCATCACGGTCGTCACCACCGCACAAACCTCTCCCTCCTCCACAGTGCAAACCACTCCAACCTCCACAGTGCAAACCACTCCCTCCTCCACAGTCGCCTCAAGCAACACCCCCCCACCGACCTCCCCCACTCCTAACACCTCTACCACCACATCCATCAACCCTTCAACCTCCCCCATCGTCCCGTTCCCTCCACCTCCTCCCCCATCTGGCGCATCCAACACACCGCCTCATTCCTCGCCCATCCATGTCACCCCTCTCCCCCCCCCGCACTCCCAAACCCTCTCCCAACCCATCATGACCACCTCCACCATCCCCACCACCCGTCCCACCTATTCCCAAGCCACCTCGGGGGTTTACCCCGCAATGCCACAACTCCCCCCCCCTCCTTGAGGACAACAACCAAATCGACCAAACCTGTTACAACACCACCCCCGATAACCTCAGCTTCAACACCCTCTCGCAGATCGTTCACCGCGACGGGGAAATCCCCCGTTCCTTCCGATCCGGCGAAATTATGTCCTTCTCCGGCCTCCCCCACAAGGACGTTTTCCTCTTCCTAACCCAGCTCCAGAACTCTTTTCACCTCGACCATTTGCCCCTTGCCCACTGGCTCCCCATTGCCACTTCCCGCCTCCTCGGCATTGCCGCCAAATGGTGGATGGCTGAAGTCAGCAACCGCCGAGCCTCTGGAGGACCACGTCACTCCTTCCTCCAATGGGCCAAACTTCTCGCTGCCACCTTCYGCCCYCAGAAAACCATTGACGACTACCTCRAACAATTCTGCCACCTCCGCCARACYGGTCCSASRGACCGCTTCGTCCAATACATCCGCTYCCTCCRCYATCACCTCCCCACCACCRTCATTCCCRACTTTGCRTTCATCTYYCGCATCAAGCGAGTATGCCACAAARATCTTGCMACCGCCCTCGCCCACGAASCCRACATGCCCCTTGMTGACCTCCTCTCTCGCATGCTTCACCACRATCGAYTCCTCCACCCCCATCACHAGTYYGYGMYCGCTCYYTCCCGCCCCCTCTTTTTCCATAACGACRMCACTCAACCCACCTYCGATGABGACTTYGACACTGCCTCTCTCGACCCCTCCCAATTCACCATCGAGGACCTCCAGACCGCCCACCTTATACGGATGGAACGCCAGGATCGTGCCTCTCGACCGCCTTCTTCCTCT